ACTGGTCAATCACATAAATATTAGTGAATATCTTGAATGAACAGACAAGAGGCAAAGTTTTGATGAAAGTATAAACACAACTTTACTGGGAATACAATTATCAAGCACACAAAAAAACAAATACTTTAAAAACACACACTGCTATAAACAATACATTCAGGTAAGAAATCTACTTAGCTCTATTCATGGAGATTCAGCAGCTTACACAGGATAATTGAATCAGCATAACACACAGAACAATGAGGTGAGTTCCTTGCCACATGTTAAATGGATTTACATGGGCACCTCTAAAGACACCTGGCTTCTTCCGACCCAGTCATGAAACTGAAACTCTAGTTTCTGGAAACCCCTTGAATAACCTCCCATCTGGTATCCACCCACAGAGGTAACATAACCAATACCTAATGGTTATTCTTGTCCCGAGAATGAATGCCCTTTTTCATGCATGACACTACCTTACTGGCCTTGGCCACTGCTGATTGACATTGCACATTGTTGCATAGTTTGTTGTCTATAACAATTCCCAAGTCCTTTTGATGTGTTGTTATCCCTAATTCGCTTCCATTAAGGGTATACGTTGCTTGTGTATTCTTTACGCCGAAGTGCATAACTTTGCATTTTTCAACATTAAATTTCATCTGCCATTTGAGTGCCCAGTCCCCAGTCTATCTAAATCCCTCTGCAGCAAAGTAATATCTTGCTCACATTGTATTGTTTTACAAAGTTTGGTGTCATCTGCAAACACTGAAACATGACTTTCAATGCGGTCTTCAAGATCATTTATAAACATGATAAATAGAAGGGGTCCCAGAACAGACCCCAGAGGGACACCACTTGCCACCTCTGTCCAGCTTGAAAATTTACCATTAATGACAACTCTTTGTACTCTGTTTTTAAGCCAATGTTCTACCCAAGAACAAGCATTTTCATCTAGACCGATTTCCTTGAGTTTGAACACTAATCTATTGTGTGGAACTGTATCAAATGCCTTGGCAAAATCCAAATAGATCACATCCACGGCAACACCCTGATCTATACTTCTACTTACTTCTTCGTAGAATCAAAGTTAGTTTGACATGACCTGTGCTTCATAAAATCATGCTGATTTTTGCTGATAACCATGTTCTTCTCAAGGAATTCTTGAATATTATCCCTTAATAACCTTTCAAATATTTTACCAGCCACAGAAGTTAAGCTCACAGGTCTATAATTTCCAGGCAAGGATTTTGAACCCTTTTTGAATATAGGAACCACATCTGCCTTCCTCCAATCCTCCGGAACACTTCCTGAAAGAAAAGAATCTTGAAAGATTAAAAACAGAGGTTCACTTATTTCTGCACTTAGTTCCTTAAGTACACGTGGATGGATACCGTCAGGCCCTTGGAGCTTTGTTTATATTAACTTTCTTTAGTTGCTGCAGCACCTTGTCTTGAGTTAACCAATTACAATTATTCTGCAAGTTTTTAGTAGCAATCATTTGCACATCTATTGCCATGGGTTCTTCCTTAATATATACGGAGGAGAAATAGTTATTAAAATTTCCTGCCTTTTCCTGGTCTTCATTAATACATCACACTCCCTGCTTGCCTTTGAAAATTACACTTTCTTTATTTTTATTTTAGAATTTGCAATTAAAAAATGCTTTGGGGTTTTGTTTTCACTTTCAGTCATCATTATTTCATTTTCTTTGAAAGTTTAGTGCAAGTTCTAATTGCCTTTTTTGCAACAATATTATTTTTGCATCCTTACCTTTTATAAGATGCATCTGATTTGTCCGATTACCGTTTTTTAAATGCCTCTTGTAGTTGTAAATTTTGTTTTTAATTTCTGCATTATTTGGTTTTGAATTTTGGTTTTTTTATATTACTTCCTAATTGGGCAAGAATTGAGAAATAAAATTTTAACAGCCATTTGTTGGAAGATGATCCATTTATCCTCAGTGTTCTTTTCACTAAAGAGTTTATGCCAGTCAATATATTGTAAAGCTGCCCTTAACTTATTGAAATTGGCCTTTTTAAAATGATATGTTTTAGTATACCCCATGTGCTTTTGTTTTTTTGAGTTTATTTCAAATGACACTATATTGTGATCACTATTTCCCAAGTGCTCACCTACTTGAATGTTGGTCAAAAGATCAACGTTGTTTGTTAAAACCAGGTCCAGACAAGCATCCATTCTAGTTGGTACTTGCACAAGTTGTGACATCAAGGTGTCATTTAACAAGTTTAAAAACCTAATTCCCTTTGCTGAGGCACTAGTCCCTCTGTCCCAATTTATATCCGGGTAATTAAAATCTCCAATAATTAAAGTGTTACCCAGATTTGCAGCTTTCTCAATTTGCTCAAACAGCTGTTGTTCCTCGTCAATATTAACAATAGGTCCTCTTTAGATCCCGAGATCATGATGTCATCAATGTAGTGAAACACTGGAAGATGTAGAGTGAGGTGGCTTAAATCCCGTGCAACTAGTCCATGGCAAATCGTAGGTGAGTGTATATATCCCTGGGGCACAACTTGGAAGGTATATTGGCGTCCTTCCCAAGTGAAAGCAAATTGATCTTGCGACTCAGGTGCAATAGGAATTGAAAAGAACGCATTAGCTAAATCTATTACCGCATGCCACTCCCCGGCCTGTTTGGCAATGTTTCCCACAATGGTGATATCAGGGACAGCAGCACTCAATGGTGGTGCTACCTTGCTGAGTCCCCGGTAATCCACCGTCATTCGCCATGAGCCATCCATCTTCTTTACAGGGAATACTGGAGCATTGAACGGACTGACAGCTGGACGAATTACACCTGACTGTAAAAGCTTGTCGATAGTTTCACTAATTTCTCGACATCCTCCGGGCAAACGGTATTGCTTCAGTCTTACCGGGTTGCACGGAGGAGGAACAATGACAGGTGTCCAATTTGCATTCCCTTGCACAATGTCTTTTACTGGTCTGAGATAGTATGGCTTATGAGGGAATCCAAACGTGAACACCCCCCACTGTGTCTCAATACTCTGCCCTAGTAACACATCTATTCCCAAGATATTGTCTGGCAATTCTGAAATCAAAACTTTAGCACTGAATCTTGGTCCTTTGTTATTTGACATAGCCACAACAGTTTGTACTGCTTTGGTAATTCTACCTCCTAAACCTTCTATTCTCACACAGGGTCCTGATAGCCTTGATGGATTACCATGCAGTACTGTGACTTCTGCTCCTGTGTCAACTAAAGCTAAAATCTTTGTTGGTCCTGGTCTTGTCCCCCACCACACAGTCAAAGGTACATAAGGGCGTCGGTCCCTGGCAGTTAAAGGGGACACATGTACCGCCGGAGGCCCACCATTCTGTCATTGTCCAACAGCACTGTCCCAATCCATCAAATCATGTGTCATCAGATCTTTTACAGGATACAAGAATCTGACTTTACCATCACTCTCTGGCAGTGCTTGTTTCTCACTAGATGTAGTATGAGAGTAAGTCCTAGCACAATATTCTGTTGGAAACAGTGAGGACATATGTGGGTATGAATGTGGCGGGGTGTTATCTTGGACTTGAAGTGAGGGTGGGGGCACAGCATAAGGAGCACAATGTTGGAATAGAGGTATGGACAGAGGAGCTGTGTCTGTAGGCATGAGAGGAGTGTTTTTTTAAATAACTAGGGGAGGAGACTTTGGGACAAATGGGGCAGAGGGCATGATATTGTCTGCCTGATCCTTGCATTCCAAATGTACCTGTACCTTTTTATTAGACCCTTTTTTAAGTTTTAACCATTTTTCAAACATGGCAGGTGTTGAAATTCCATTAATTTGTTCTCTAGGTACACCAGCCTCAATCAAATCATTCCACATTTAAAAACGATTAACTCACAGCCTTGTTTTATTCCTAAACTTTCCCTGCTTTTCTCCCTCTATTGGTTCCACCATCTCCTCCCTCGTCCTGTTAGCGGCAAACACACCTTTCCTAGGGTTAGATTCTGACTCTAATTCTCCAATTTCAGCTAAATAAGTGGTGCGCTGATGTACCTTTACATTATTCCCCAAACTGCCCAGCAAAGACAATAAAGATGCCTTCATTTCCATGGGTGCACTTTTTAAAAACCGAGACCGCATTCTGGCTGTGAATTCCTCCATGTCTGGACCTTCCCAGTTATCCTTGTTTAATCCCACCACACAACCCATAACTCTAATGCGGGTAATAGCATCCCTCGGTTTTGACCAGGGTGAAATGGGCTCAATGTCATTGCTAGATGGGAAGGCCACAATTATGGCATGCTGCACCATATCAAATAATGAAAAATTACCTCCAATCTCCCTCACCCTCCGTAATACCTGCATGAGCTGTGGATGCAGCGTCAGCTGCCCCATACATAATGCTTCCCTTGCATTCAACTGCACACTGTCAGCTCCTCCATCCCACATGCGCAATAACCATTCTCCCACATTTTCACCAACTTCATGCTTATACACCTTTGCCAGCTCCATGAGCTCTGTTTGTGTGTAATTTTTTACCACTTCATTCATCTCTTAATGTACACCATTTCTCAAACCACGCGCTCTATCTTGTAGTCTCCTTTTCCGCTGCTGTGTAATGATAGGACGGGCTTGTCGCCTGTCCACATCATTATCATCATCAGAAAAGGATACATACTCATCATCAGATGACTGTAGCGGTGCTTCAGGATCCCATATGGGGTTTGCAACCATTGCTCGCACTTTACTTACAGGCACTGGCTTTTTTCCTTTCTGTGACCTCCTGCGGTTAATCTTGCTTACCACTAAAGTAGTACATTTTTCTTCTAGGGCAGCCACCTGGCATGCATTACTACGCATACATTCTTTAGTTATAACTAATACATCTTTTACATCCTGCAACTCTTTCTCGAGCACTTTATTTCTCTGCACCTTGCGGCTAAGGGCCTGCACAACTATCCACCCTGTGGTGGCAGCAGCTTTCCGCGCTTTTTTGGAGTATACTCCCAGGTCTAACCGTAATGCTTGAGCACCAAGTTCACTACCAGCATCAGGATAGACAGGAGCTGCATACTTGATCAGCTCCTCAGCAATGGGTTTCCAGTTTTCCAAACTGGCCCACAATGGAATTGTCCCATACTTAGACGCATCCTTCCCTCCTGCTCTATTACTTTTTTTAAACAGAGTAAGCATCTTTACTCTCAAGGGGAACACAAAAATGCAAATATACCAATCAAAGACAATGCTTGTTAACTATATCTCTTTTCACTGTGCAACGTGACTGTGCTATAGGCTTATTCAATCTATATACACATTCAAACATTCTATATTTAGTGATTGTGCAGTATCCTGTTCACAGCGCCAGTTGTAATGGTAAATTAAGTAATTTCTTTATATTTATGAAGTTCTGAATTTCATAAATATCAAATAATACCACAAATAAAATAATAAAAGGTATACTGGTCAATCACATAAATATTAGTGAATATCTTGAATGAACAGACAAGAGGCAAAGTTTTGATGAAAGTATAAACAAAACTTTACTGGGAATACAATTATCAAGCACACAAAAAAACAAATACTTTAAAAACACACACTGCTACAATACATTCAGGTAAGAAATCTACTTAGCTCTATTCATGGAGATTCAGCAGCTTACACAGGATAATTGAATCAGCATAACACACGGAACTGAGGTGAGTTCTTTGCCACATGTTAAATGGATTTACATGGGCACCTCTAAAGACACCTGGCTTCTTCCGACCCAGTCATGAAACTGAAACTCTAGTTTCTGGAAACCCCTTGAATAACCTCCCATCTAGTATCCACCCACAGAGGTAACATAACCAATACCTAATGGTCATCTCTAGGAGGCGGATACTACATGTGGTCCTTTGTAAAAGGAAGTGACTTAAGAATTCTCAATACCTTCCTAAAGCACATGTCTCATTGACTATGCGGCAGCCATCTTTATTCACTCGACGTCACAGTGCTCACTAGGCCACCTATAGGTCACTTCCTTCCTAAAGCACATGTCTCATTAAATATGCAGCAGCCATCTTCTTGCTCTTAATGTCACATAGCTCACTACAGGGATCATAAGTTATTGCACATGAATGGGAACTCAATAATAGAACATTTATCATTGCCCATAACCAATACAGTGGTAGTTAACCATGCCCCTGGCCAAAAACCAAGCCCCCTCACTCTGTCGCTATATACCCTCCCTCCAGCCTGGCCCATATGGCTGCACATCACATTCTACTACAATTCCCAATACCTCAAGCAGTATGTCACGCAGTCAGCCCGATTTCCAATATGGATGCTGATCACGTGACCACCTAAAATAATGTTTTTAACCTATTTATAATTCTCATTTTAATGCACTATTTCAGGGGTAGATGCATATGTATTCTTTATATTTGTATAACTTTTCTTGTAATTTAAAAATTAAAATTTTTTAATTGTTTTCTATGACGTCCTTTGGGCGCCAAATCTTTAACTGTTTAAAAATAAGTCCCCCTATATAAACCCTACCCTACCAAGCATGCTTTTTTTTGTCTCCACTTGAGAAAGTCCTCATAGGTGAAACGCGTTGTGGATGTTTTACATTTTTATTCTGTATTCTAATAAAGGTATTTTGTCTACTTTTAATATACTTATACTTTGGTTGTGCCATTTTACTTTTTCAAATTTTATTTTTATTTTCACTATTGCTGCTTGGTATCCTGATTTTATTTCTTCCTGATGAGTATTACTCCAAAGAAATCCTAGGTGGGGATTATACCACTCACGCCTGAGTCATTGAGCAGTCTACCTGCTCAATCATATGTGAGTACACATTTTATTATTTATATATATATTTATACAGCAAGCAATGTCAGTTGTCTGTCTTCTCCTCTCCATGGTCTACATATTGGTAAGATACTTACCACTCTCTACGTATCCTAAAAGTGGGGATTATACCGTTGTATGCCATTCATACTAGATCTGGTTCAAGCTCTACTACACGTAAGTAGGACTACATTAGATTCTGTTCAATTATCCATCTGTACTAGACGTATTGCACCATAATTTCTCTCTCTTTTCCCACATACGGATCAAAAGACCAATACCTCTCTACGTATCCTATAAGCGGGGATTGTACCGCAGTATGCCATCCACACTAGAGCTAGTTTAAGGTTTACTACATGTGAGTAGGAATACTATAGACCCTTTCTTACTGTTTTCCGCTTTT